CCCCCGGGTCGCGAGGCGACCGCCTGACACCCTGTATACGCTACCTCCGCACGCCGCGCAGCATGACTTAGCACGGTGTGTTTTTTTTCCCCAAAAAGGGACCAATGAACCGCCACGAACAACGCCCGAGCTCGACGCGCCCGAGCAGCAACGCCCGGCGGCCGTGTCGTTTTCACCGCACGAGCGACGACGCACCACCTGTGTTGCGGTGGCTTCGTGCCCCGACGCCCCGGAGAGGCGAAACCAGTGTTTCGACTGAAGCGGCGCAGGAAAACGAGCCACTCCAAGGGGCTCGTCCGCGGAGCGTGTGTGCGCGGAGCGAGGGTGCGCGACGGGTGCATCTGCGGGCTTCAACCCACTCGCTCGCTCGCTCGCGTGAGCGCGCGAGCGTTGTCACCTTTTTGGTATTGTTCGGTGCGTCTTGAGGCCCACAGTCCAGCCCAGCCTCACCAGGTTTGGACCGAAAAGTTGAGTGTTTCAGCGGATGTTGGGAACAAACTATGATATCAAGATCTCAAAATACTCGCAGAGAAATACCAGGAGATGTTCATTTCATGTGTTGAAGCTGCTTGGAGTGAAAACTGGTGAATCCCACAATCATTTGGCAGCCTTTGGTTCTGAGCAGTGGAACCCGCGCAGGTGGTGCTGATGGCGACACATCACAGATGGTGCAGAGCCCCAGATCGAGGAAAAAAGCATTGGCGAGCGGCGAGATGCTTCGTTTTCCCGTGTTTAACACGGTGAGAAGACCAAAGAGTCATGTGTTTCGTTGAGCGGAAACCGCGCGGAAGTCTGACCGAGAGGAGAGAGCAACTTCTCCGGTTTCGCTCACACACACACATGAATTTTTGATTCCTCCCCGTGTTCATGGTTGATGTTTGAATCCACTTGGTGGGAAGAATTCGTCACGTTGAATGGTTTTTCAATGTGGGCTTCAGATCAAACTTGGAGGTGGCATTGGTTTGAGTTGGGTGTTGGGGTCTCCACCCACCAAGAGCTAGGATTGAGGATTGATTCTCAGCTTAAAGCTTTTAAACCAGGGATATTCCTTCCTCAGTTCCTTTTTTCAATGACTGACAACAAATCCTCAGAGCCTCTGATCCTGACATGCACCCCAGGAGCTGAATCCGAAAACGGAGCGTGTCTTACTACTTTATGTTCTTTTTCCCCCTCATCTGTTGGGAAGACCCAAACAAATGGATCCTCCTCGCCGTTTCGCCGTGCCGTTCCTCGCGGGGTCCGCTGAGATCTCTCAGTTCATGAGCGTCACAAACGCCTCTCGGATCGTGGCAAAGGACGGAAAGGGCTCGCTCGGTGCACCGAAAGCATCAGCTTTCGCACCAGTGAAACATGCGAAATCGCACCAGTGAACACCCTGGAGCAGGGTGTGGTTTTGAATGGTTTTGACTGCCGCTCCATCTCTGAATCCAAGCCGCTTCTGGTCGGATGAGACACAGGAAAGCCTTGAGAGGCACAACTGGGATCTGCACAATGCAGTGATGCAGTGGCAGCCTTAACATCCACTTGAGATCTGAAGTCAGACTCCGGTCGATCAATTGTTGTTTTAGACGGTAGTTCAAACGTCCGAAACCGCCGAGTGAGACTCAAATCAGACACATTATAATTGGTTGGATCAGCTTCAGAAACTAGGGCAGGAAACTGAAGACAGTACTGAAGACAGTAACATGTTTCCAATGCCGTTCTGCTTGCCTTTGCTTTTGGTCTTTGCGTGGCCAAACCACGCCCCGTCCGAACATCCGCCGCAGGTATCTGGCGTCCGAGACGTCGCCAGGGCCGCCGTCGCTCAGCCGTCGGGGATGCCGAGAAGGGAAGGATGGAGGATGGAGGAATGGTGGATGTGCGAATGGCAGACGTAAGCAGCAACTTAGGAGGTCTAGGGATGTCTGTATGGTTTCGGTTCGTTGTCTGACATGTCTTGGTCGTTTGTGTCGCAGTTCTGCTGCACAGGGCCGAATGAGAAGCCTGGCTGGCTGTGTGCTCAGAGGGAAGAATCGTCTCGATGAAATGACAAAGAAGACTATCGCAGAGAAGTGAGCTCAAGTGTGGCTGTGTGGCTGTGATGTATGTCCAGACGTGCCAGTGGAAACTCTTCAGTCTCAGACGGACCCGGAAACCGAGTTTCGTGAACACGACCGGTCCACGAAGAGAGGCGCCGGCGCACCGTACCTCGCCGACCGAGGACGGAGCGCAAGAGCCGAGTGGATCAAGTGGTGTCCATCACCAAGGTGCGGTCAACCGTCATTGGGACGGTTGATGGTCGTCGTTGACGCTTTTTTTTGCCACGTGGGTCGTGGTCAAGTCACCGAAGCTGGTCGTTGGGTCGTGGTCTTTTTTGACCAGAGATGAAGAATCTGAAGAAAGGAACGACCAAAACCCCAGGGCCCCAAAAACAGGAAGATGAAGGAAGATGATCCAGTTGAAGGGGTTTCATTTGGAATGGACCAAAGGACTCTCAGGATGAGGACCGACCTCAACGACCACCAACAGCTGTTAGGTCATCAAGAGATCCAGAATCTCAACAGCCCTACCATTGGACAAAGTGGTCTTAGCAAACCTTCTCCAGCCCAGGCTTTGATTGGAACCCTGGAACCCTGAACTTGATCCCGTTCCAATCCTCCAAATCCCCAGTGCTTTCCGGTTTGGCGGTTTCGCGGCTTGGGTGAGAATCTGCGACGGTCACTGGTCACTGACTGCGCCTTGGTTGCGACAGGTGAGTGAGCGTGTGGCTGAAGAATATTTGGAGCTGGGGCACTGAGATGGTGCCGAGAGCGCCGAGAAAAGTGTGTGCAGCTGATATCGGTGGACTTCAAAAGAGAAGCAATGCAGGGGAGGTTCTTTATCCCAGGATTTGGTTAAAGAGACACACAGGCACACCATTTGAGGTTGAAACTGGTAGAAGTCTTCCTTTGCTTCAATCTTGCAATGAATCTTGCAGCGAGTCGGAAGCTGAGGAAGGCGAATTGGAACGTGGAAGCTGCTCTGGACAAAGTGCTGGAGGAGAACTCCAAGAGCGATGCCCTCGAGTTTTGGCTTCTTCTTCCCCCCCAAAGACTCCAACCTACTAGCGATGGCCTCCACCTTTTGAGCGATGGCTCCCCCCAGGCTGCTAAGCCAGCATCGGCCATGGGGTTTGTTCACATCTCTCTGTTTCACATCTGCCAGGTGCTCCCAAATCTTCGCCGGAGCCATAGTGACATCCTGAGGTCTGCACCCTGTTGGCGGGTTGAAATCGCCTCCTGAGGCCCAGCAAGCCCAGCTCTGCACCCAAGGCTTTCCGAAGCTTTTTCGAATGCAGCTGAGAGTGTTCACGAACTGAGCTGTGCTCATAGGCTCATTGTCGGTGCTCTTGGTAAGTTTTTTGTTTGTGGCTTAATGTATATATTGCTGTATATACTCTCAAAGAGGCTTTGGACACTTTGTTATGGTCAAGATTCTTAGAAGTGTGAAGGTGGTTTTGAGATGTGTTGAGTTTATCGGGAGGCAAGGTAGGGCCTCTGGTAGAAGCAAGGTTGGTTCTCAGAACCTCCGATGGATCAAAACCCACTGACTGACTGTGTGTACTTCGTCTGCCACTGGTGTTTTCCCGGGGTGGCCGGGAAGCTGCGAGAACACCAGTCCCGTGGCCTTTCTGTTGGGGCTCCAGGCCAAGCCTCCAAGCAGCAGTTCAGGCAGCTCGCTCAGTGTCGGTTGGTTTCGCTCAGCCACATCTGTGGCGTATTGTAGAGTGAAATTCTTTGTTTTTTGTTTTGCTTACGCTCACCAGATGGGAGCAGTTGCACACGCACATGGCCCAAAAGAAACCACCAAAACCTTTCCGCATCCACCCACCACATCCCGGGTGATGGAACCCAACACGCGACACCCCGACATGCGCGACAACCCTAAACCCTAAACCCTAGAGCCTAGGCCAAAAGTGGCTTCTTGCTTGCTTGCTTGCTTGCTTGCTTGCTTGCTCACTTGCTTACTTGCTCACTTGCTTACTTGCTCACTTGCTTACTTGCTCACTTGCTGACTTGCTTCCTTGCTTGCTTGCTTGTTTGCTTGGTTTCGCTCCGGCGCGTTGTCGATGGCTTGTCGATGGCATGGCTTGGCTTAAGGCTCCGAGGAGTCGTATTCCGAAGAGGAATCCGACGAGGAGGAGGCCCGACGGTGTTCGTCGGTGGAACACTCCGGTGGGACGAACGGAGAAGAAACGAACGGGGAAGGTCGGATGATGATGGATGATGACGGATGTGTGTTTTATGTTTCTTTTTTTTTTTGCGTTCTTTGCATCTGCCAGGAGAAGGAAACTGGTGGCAAAGGCCAGCCGCTTTTGTGGGTCGTGATGCCAAGTTCGATGGATGCACTGCGCATTGCCGAATCCAGGCTGGCCGCAAAATGGCAAAGGTGGGCCACAAAGCAAAGGTGGTTGGCCGAACAGTGGCAAAGGCGCTGGCGGCTGGCCCGACAGTGGCAAGGGAGGCTGGCCAGACAGCGGGAAAGGCGCTAGCAGCGGCTGGCCTGACAGCATCTTGGCAAGACGAGTATACGTGCCGTCGGCGACCGGAAGACTTCGGCTTTTTGCTTCCAGGCAGTGCAGGTGCAGGCTGGCCAGGCGCGAGTCTTTGTGTAAAAAGCACCGAGGCCGTGCTTCAAGTTTCACAGTCACTTCAACCTCCTTCATGTCATACCTCTTTATCTTCACACGCCTGATCATTCGTTTCCTGCGCCGCGGATTTGATTTTTACTACGGCGCCAGGTAGTGGTGCCTCTCAAAGCGCTGGTGCCTCAGTGGTTTGCAGGTTGACCTGGAGGCAGAATTTCACTTTGGTGTCACGGCCATACGGGCCCGTGGGAGCCGTTTTGAGTTTTGTGTTTAATATTGACTGTGCTTTCATGGTTGTTCACCAACATGTTTATGTTCACTCACATGAGGGGGGTGGGAGGGGGGCAGTGACGTTCGTTCGTTCGTTCATTTGTTTGTTTGTTGGTTTGTTGTTGAAGAAGAAGAAGAAGAAGAAGAAGAAGAAGAAGATGGATCGGCTGTTCTCGTGAATGAAGAAGTTCATCCCGCCCGCAAAGCAAAAACCGATCCAAAGGATTGGTGAATCCCAGGCTGTGGAATAGAGTTTACCAGTAGATATATTGCCACAAAGAGCGAAATCCTGGAAAGCTGGATAGAAACACGAAATCTGCGAATGCGGGGGGCTCGAAAGGACGTGAAGCCATGTTTTAAAGCACTAGCAGAGATGCCTGGTTTTGTTCGGCCAAAACAGGTCAGCTTAGCTGCCTCAACGTAACTGTGCATTTGAGGCTCCGTCCCAGATGAGCAATGGCTGGCCGTGCCTGGCTCCTGTTTGTGAAGGGTGGGCATGACACTGCTGCCTCTTCATATGCAAAAGATTTTCTGGATCCAAGTCAGGAGAAGTGTATTACACAAAGAGCTTCGTCGTCGCGCTTCGCCAGGTCGAAAGGAGGATGGCCAAGCAAAGGCACTGATGGAGAGCCCGATATTTGAACTCGCCGGTTGGCTTCCCATGCGCTTGGAGTTTGGAATAGTATGTGTGGGGGAGTGGCGAGAAAAAGGCAAGAGCAGTCGGTGTGAAACCATGTGGCAATATGTGAAAGCAGTTTCCTCATGTTTCCTCTGTTCCAAACTGCTCAGAACTGTTCCAAACCAACTTGGAAGACACCAGTCGACGTCGTGCCTTGGTCGACGCATGTTTTCTTCACCCTTTCTACCGGCAGGCGGACAGAATGCCGGTGCCCCCTTGGGCGCCTTTGGCAAGGGAGGACGCCGAGTTCAAAGTTCACTGTCTCCCACCATTTCTTACATGTCCATTCTTATCACGAAAGCTAGCGAAGCTAGCTGGAGTTACTCTTGCGATAGCAAGGTTTCTTTCAACCGGGTGCAAATCCTAACCCCTGATTTTTCAGGTCGAAGACCCCCCC